GGCAATGAACAGGTGTGTGGGTTTGTTAGCACTGAGCGTATAGGCGGCGTAACCCACGCAGAGGTACTGTGGCGCGGTTCTGGGGGCCGGAACCTGCCATCCAGGGGACGGTTCCTTCTGAAGCCCATGGGGAAGCATTTGTTCTGTGCCTCTCACTCACCTTTTGCTTGCTCGCGGGGCAATTTTGGGGTGCCCAGCATGTAGAAGCCTCACCCGATCTCTGCCTGCGTCTCACATAGTGTTGTCCTTTTGTGTGGCTGTGTTCGGATCCCCCCTTTCTGTCGTGTGGGATGGGGGGGGCCTTCTACTCTAGTCACTTTACCTGCAGCTGCTCTGTCTCCGAACATGGTCACGGCGTGAGACACCTGGGGGGGGACTGCAGTGTGTTAATGTCTGGGCAACGCGACTGGACTCATTAACAACAGGAGTACAAGTGTCGGCTTGGTCTTATCGCCCCAAATGAAATTTTATCTATATATACCGTACATATATTTAACCTGAATAAAAGAGAGTTTATCTTGCTATTGCTTCTGTAAGTCTTACAACGGCCCTGAGAATTTGTTGAATTGGAAAGAGCTAGCAATGATGAGAGAAACATAGGAGCTGAGAAATGGCCATGTTACCTTTTTAAAACATATATTGTTAACGTGGACAGTGGCAGAGTCCCCATGGATGGGACGCACCCAGCTGCTATGTCCTCACATCTTCAGCATTTTGAGACCAGGGCCGAGTGTTCAGCATGAATACGAAGTCTCTGAAGCAGCATAGATGTGACCCCAGATTCTGCCACCATGTGTCTTAGGAACGTCGCTGAAAAAAAAATGCCAGGTCCCCGTCATTTGTTTTTTGCGGTATAATAGACAAGTTGATTTCGTTAACGCCAAGCACCGAATCACAAATAGAGCAAGCTGCGTCAGAGAGCCTGCAGATTCCACTGCACCGAAGTTGTGTATTCAATCGATGCAATTTATGATCGCAAAGCTTTACATTTTATTTACAATAAAACCGTGTTAAATTAACACTGAGCCATATGCTGAAACCATTCTCGAATTTTTGGACACGTCTTTGAGTTCCTGCCTGGAGATAAAACTTAGAAATCTCCTGGGTTAGGTCAGAGTTGCTCAAGAAACCGGACGGACGGAGCTAAGGAGGTCAGGGTTTATTCGCGGGAATAGGAGGGAAAGTGGAGTCAACCAAGCGAGGTTGGGACTTGCTCGGTTGTTTTTAGGTCAGGGTTTTTAAACTCAAAAACCTGTGAAGGGTATCAGAGTCTGATGGACTAGAGCGGGTCGGCTGGGCGCAGGCTCAAGTGAAAGCTGCGTCCTGTTATGCCGGACGGGCCGACCCCAGACCCCAGTCTTCACCCGTTTTTCCTGGGTGGGGTCTGCAGGCAGCTTCCCCTGGTGCCATCTCTAGCCTGGTCATTTTCCATCCCTCCCAGGCCTGCCCAGGTCTGCCACCCTGTCACAGGTGTGGTACTTTTAGTAGTGAGAAAAAAATACCTTAATTCAGGGTACGAGTACGCACAGCAAATATATACGCGTGGGGTACTTCTGATGACCAGATGTCTTTAATGTGAGGTCAGTATCGTAACAGCAAATGAGTCAAGGGAGCAGCAGGGGCACAGCTGGCACGAGCCCACGTGTTTTATTTCCCAGCAGGAAGCGGGGGCCACCGCAGTCTTGGGTGCCGTCGGTCCATCCTGAAGGGCAGGGACCGCGTCTGTCATTCTAGCCATGGGCAGGTGGCCCGGGATCCGCAGCATTTGCTGGAAGGGCTCCCCGGGCATGGGATAGACGCACCCCCCAGGGATACGTGATTCATGCCTAAAACATCTCACTATTTTAGAAAGTTTTTTCTTTCTTCTTCTTTTTTAAAAAATATCAATTTAAAACCACACTTTTTTTTCCCCTCCTGGGACGAAAAAACATGTTTCTTTTTTCTAGAAGCGGGAGCGTTTCAGTACAAAATGAAAATGGAAAGGCGTTTATAAATGCAATACTCTGAGGGCAGACAGGCCAGAGGGCGGTGTCTGCCAGGATAACCCTTGTCAGGAAGGGCATCCGTGGACGTGAACTTGGCGGTTTCGTCTGAATGCTGGAGGTGGTGGTGTGTCCACTCATCTGTAATTTGTTACCTGGAGGTCCTTGTGATTTGAAGGACCACAGATTTGAAAATGGCAGTCAACGTGAGAGTTGAGATCCCACAGCCCACGGGTGGCTCCCACGTTTGGGGTGCAGACAGCAGCTGGCTGCTTCTCCTTCTTCTCTTATTCACCCTCGACCGTGTCCCAAGACTCTGTCAGACTGGGGACCAGCTGTCTACTAACGAAAGCAGCAGGAAAGAGAATTTAAAATACTCACAATTTTTTTCTTCTTAGAGGAGAAGCATTCACTTAATATATGTAAAAAAAAGTTTTTCATTGATATTTTAAGAAAATCGTAACTCAGAAAATTCGCTGGAAAGCCCAGGCCTGGCCAATTGCGAGATCAGTGTTTGCAGGTGTGTCCAGGACCATTTGGTACCTGCCCAGGGTGACGTTTTAGAGGCGGAAACCAGGTGATTCACACCCAGGCTGGAGCCCCGGGCTGGCAGTAGGGGGCAGTGGCACCATCTGTCTACCTGCACAGTGTCCCAGGTAGTTTGCGACGGCTGTGATTTGCCCACAAGGAGACGGCCCGTGGGACGCACAGGGTCACTTGGCCGTCTGAGGAGCCTGTCTCATCTGACCACAGCGTCCCCTTCCCCGGCATCCTGTAGTCGCTGACTTTTCAAGCATCATCTGTCTCCCCCCAAGAAGGGGTTCACACATGGGGGGTGGGCTCAGACTTAGTGTTTTGACTTTAATTTTTTAATTTTTTATTTGAAAAAAACATTGCACAGTGGAGAATATTTCCTCCCCAGTGCTCCGTCACTGCTGACGGAAAGGGAGATACCGGGCTGGGGCAGAGCCTGATGAAAAAGAGGCCCCGTTGGGGTGGAAGACAAGGCCCACCTCTCTCGTAACCCAACACAGCCTTTTAGGGAATCTTAGGAGTCAGAGAAAACAGGTGCAGAATTTCCGCCGTGCAGAGGTGACAGGAAGTCTCAGGCTAACCCACCGGGCCCCCGGAAGTAGAACAGAAAGGTGTCTTCATCGGAGTGGTAATGCGTTTGCCTGCTTCGACTAGATTCTGCATGTACATGTTTACAAATTAGTATTTTCTTCAATATGTTTTCTCATTATTCTTGGAACAGAGAGAGTAATGGCTGGTAAGGGTTCTTTGCTGCCTTTTTGCTTCCTGTACGTGTCTCTTTTTATTTTCTGAAATTGCTTGATGGAGGGATCATTCACTGCACACTCTGGGGACCATGACATTGACGGATTGGAGAGGACCTTCCTGTGGCCCACCGTCCAGTCTGGGTTTCTGAGGAAGTTTCAAGCCCTGCACTGAGACCAGGTTTAGGAAGGGGACAAGATCCAACATACGAGCAAATACACAGTGAAGGCTTCCAAAAGGAAGACTTGACTAATTGGTTCCTTGGAAAACGAGTACTAGGACCGACAGAACCGACCTAACTCTGAAAGTCTCACTGGGAATCCTGCCCCCTAAGACACCCGAAGCCCCCTGTCCCGAGCATGCGCAGAGACAAATTCCCATTCCTCTTATTGCCCGAGAGTTTAAGAGGGTCCAGGCATTCCAAGCTTTTCCATGTTCTAAATTTCCACCAGAATTGAATTTGCTTTAAAGGTCTGGTATAGATAGTCATATGAAATACCCAGTTCTGGCCCCACTAAAAAAAAAGTGGTGTAACTCTACTCAGTGAGGGAAAAGGAGATGTAAGATCTGTTTTAGAGGTAATGGAAAAGTCTGTGGTTATATTTATTTTCTGATTTCTGGTGAAACTACAGAGAAGATTCAAAATTCATTTTCTGTGGTTCTGGCAAGGTCCAGAGTATCATTTTGGTCAACTAACGACAGCCCTCACAGGGCAAAGCTGTGCAGCGTATCTTTCGAGATGGCCAAGTCATTGTTCAGAAATATGTTAAGTGATTTTCTCATGGTCCCGTTCACCTTCCTGATGATTTTCACCCTTAATCCCACACGCTCAGAGTACAGTGTGACCCTCGGGGCCTCTCCTGGGGGGGCGGGGGCTCTGGGAGACGGGGGTCAGCGTGACAAGGGGGCCTCTGATTTAAGTTCCAGCCTTCCTGAAGGCCTCGCCACTACCCTTGATGTGATTTTTTTTAAACAGGAAAATAGTTCGCTGTGTTGTTGGCTGTTTGAAAGTGCTCGTTCTTACACAAAGGTAAACCACAGCACAGTTTTTGTAGCTTTATTTTGGCATTTCATTTTTTCCAATATAGGGGGCTTCCCAGGCCTCCACCGGCCTTGGAAAGGCCTCTGTGTGTCCGCCGGATGCAGCATCTGTGAGCTGCTGGGAAGGAACGCTAGTCCGGGGTCAGAAGAGGCGAAGCTGAACTTCAACTGCCTCTTCCTGGGGAAGGGGGGGCGGCTGGCCACGTGATCTGCCCCACCTTGGCTCTGGTTCTCTCATCTGTAAAAGTAAAGCCAGACTCCTAATGTTTGCCTGAGACTACTGTGCAGATGAACTGATGTAATAAATGAAAGATGCACTTTGCACAATGTAACGTACTACATAACGGGTGAAGTAAAACGAGTTAGTAAAACGAGTGAACCACATTTCTGGCATTGATAGAATTTAAAGTGCATTGCAGGGTGTGGCTCCTTTCCATTTAAATGATGTGGAAACTCGACTAGTAAAAAAAAACCTAAGTACAGAGCCTTTCTCCACACCCGAGACACAGTCACCAATGGAAAATGGCTCAGGACGCAGGTGCCCGTGATAGACTTTGTCGCTTGGACTACCCTACACACTGTCCGCGTTCGGAAACTACAAGTCAACCATCAAAGCACAATGACCAGCAACGAAAGTCCAAATAAATAGTTTTTAATTATGATACATTACTTATTACAGTAAAAATTGGCATTTTCCCCTTCAAAAGCAGAAGCACCAGTCTTAGAAGGTAGAGAATGGCATTTTAAGGGAAATTGAGCATAATACTATGTGCAACGTTATTTTAGTTTAGAACATACTTTCTAAAAGTAAAGTCATTTCACACACTGAAACCTGGCAGGATGGACATCATGTCATGCTGATAGTAAAGGAAAAACCCCCACTTCCAATGAAATAAGCCCACTTCGAACGAAACATGGGATACTGCTGAAAAGATAATGTGGAAAATTAAAAAGCATAACCAGGCCCAAATGGAGGGATTTCATGTACAAATAGGACTCGTGTAGGGGTTTCTTTTCACATGGTTTCCGTCATTCTCTGAGCAACTACAGCGGATGCTCTATTTCAGAATGAACAGGTCCACTCCGTTGTAACTGCACGCCTACTCTGTGGTGGGCACTGCTCTAGGTCATGGGGGGCGGGGTACAGAGAAAACACGGCCCTGCCTCGGAGGAGCTCACAGTCTAGTGGGGGGGACACATACATCGACACGGGTTGGAAAATCGTAAAAATTATTAGACAACTTGAGAAACTTCTTCCGCAACCAAACAAGCTTTGGGCGTTATGAATGGACGGTGAACAGGGAGGACGTCCAGTGCAGGGCGAACCCGGCGGCTTCTGTATCATGTGACTTCGGCAAAGGCGGCGATGTGGTTCTGCAAAGAGAGAGGAATTCCGGGGTCAGGATCTGGGGGAAGCGGCTTCAGCCAATACTTAGCGCTTTCAAAAACCATAGTTAGCCTAACGGCAAACCGTGGCCCGTGCAAATTTCGGGTACAAAATCACACGGCTCTGTTGAGCTAGTGCTCAGGGTCATGACATCGACGTAGCTGCTACTTGTACATTGGGTTTCATAGCCTTTTTTAAAAAGATTTTATTTATTTATCTTTAGAGGGGAAGGGAAGGAGAGAGGGAGAGAAATATCAATGTATGGTTGCCTCTTGTGTATCCCCCACTGAGAACTGGCCTGCAACCCAGGCTTGTGCCCTGACTAGGGATTATTGAACTGCAATCCTTTGGTTCGCAGGCCCGCGCTCAATCCACTGAGCTACACCAGCCAGGGCAGTTTTCACAGTCTTAATTAACCAAATAAAGGTAAGCACGTTGTACCTGCTTTCTGCACAATGAACACTGGCGTTTGGAGGAGGAAAAACAGCCGAATCTGGCACGTGAGTGTTCTGCTCAGTGCAACTGGGATGCTGGGGCTTTGCCAGCACCAGCCCCCGCGAGGCAGCCGGCTCGGGTGAGGTGGGGGCGTGATGGGGTTTGGTAACTGACCCAGTCCCATTTTTTAAGTGGGACTTTTAAGTCCCACTCAGTTTCCATGCAGGAAGCCAGACCACAGATGGTCCTGTCTGTTGTTTACCTAAACCACAGAATCCTCCGGGAAGCCTGTTTACTTCCTACTTTTTTTTTTTAAACAATAGAATTGGGTATGAAGAACCCTGTGGAGTGGCTAACGTTTACACGGGGTCAGACATGCAAGGTCCTCCCATGGCTGCTGAAGCCCTGCAGTGGAACAGGGGCAGGACACGGTGATCATGCCACACACAATGTCACGGCAAGGTCGAGGGTGAGTGACGGCCCCCAGCCGCAGGTAGCAGCAGCACCACAGAAGGGTTTCACCGTCCTGGTTCTGAATGCTCGGCCGAGCAGTTTTGTGCCGACTCTGAGTCAAAGGCATCCTACGGAATTTCATGAAATGAATGCACAACACGTGGTCTCGCCCGTGTACGGGAGCCCTTTTCCGATTAAAGTGTAAAATGTTGAATGAGCTAAAACGGTTTTGAAAGAATGTGCGCGAAGACATTAAACTTCATTTTCGCTGAAGGTAGGCATATCAGATCACCACGAGGGGAAAATCACTAATTACCGCGTAAGGCAGTCTTTTATTTTCTAGCTTTGACCCCACACAACCACAGAGCAAACCAGCATCGGTAAAAATCAGTCATGAGCAGAGCGTGCCCGCCCCTGGCTCCCGAGAGGACCTTGGGAACCTACGTTTCCCGCGGGAAACGCCTGATGAAAATGTCGGGGGCTTCAGCCGTGTATCTCGAAGCTTTCTCGTTTTTCCCTTGTCACAGTGCAGGCTTTGGGACAAAAAGGACTTGTCAGAGTCCCAGGACACACAACGATCCAATAAAAGCCCTCAGAACCGAGGACACGGTACATCACAGTCTTACTTCCACCGGCCTTGTGAGGACACGAAGCCTGCGCACTGAGAAAATGCACTGGATGCCCAGGGTTTCAACACAAATCACCCGTCGGGAAGGGGCCTGGCAGGCAGTGGCGGCTGGAGAGACGACAAGGGGTACATTGGAGAGTCGTCAGTGCGTAGCAATGGGTGGGGAGGTGAACGGTGAGGACGTGGCTACGGTAGAAAGGAAGGAAAGGAGTTAAGAAAGAAGAGGAACGAGAAAGGGGACGGTTATTGGAAGGGCTGGGAATTCGCGTTGCCTTGACCAAGACAATGACGCATCCACCGGGCTTGTTTACGTTTGCCGAAGGTGATTCTGAGCCTTGCAAAGTGGCACGGAGATGCTGAGGGACCGTAAGAAAGCAGAGAAAGGATCAAAGATGGGTCACTGGTCGTCAGCGCCAGGCAGGACAGAAGCAGAGGAAAGCGAGTGGTGCAGGAGTGACAGAGAACGGGCAGTGGGACCAAATACATCTCAATCTGGACACTCTGAGGAGGGCGGATGCAAGCAAGACACAGGGACGACTTGCTCACAGCCACACCGTCCCAAATAGGGATAAAAGGTCACCTTGGGAATAAGGCCTTGACCTCACCGGAGGACATTTTTTCATTGCTTTGTGTGTGTGTGTGTGTGGCGGGGGGGATAGAGAAAGAAACATCAGTTGGTTGCCATCTTATATGTGACCCGACCAGATACTGAACAGCAACCTGGGTGTGTTCCCTGAGTGGGAACCGAACCCACGACCCTTCAGTCTACAGGATGATGCTCCAACCCACTGAGCCACACCAGCCAGGGCTGAATGTACATGACTTTAAGTGTGTTATAGAGGCCTGTGACACACTGAGTTCAGTCTTGGCATCTAAAAATCACGGTTCGCCAATAGCTAAAGCTTCCAATCCCTGCCTGTTGCTAGGTCATTACCAAGTTCAGCTGCAGGGCGACCGTTTGTTTCCGGACTGACTGCATTTTGAGGTCCTGGGGCCCTGGGAAAACGCCTGCTTTTTTGGTGATGAGCACCATTTCTGTTACATGTCACACTTAAGCTTTAACCTCTGAGATGACTTTTCTGATTTGGCGGGAACGAGAAGAGTGCCCCTGTGCTCAGGGCTGGTCATTGAAGGTGGTCATTAGCAGGGAGAGAAACCAATGAAAGTACAATATCGAAATGACTGCGCATAGAGAAGAGAATGTTAAGAAGGAAATTTAATAATAATTTCTAAGTCCATGGAAGGAATATCCCAGACAGCCCGGGACCCATCTGTTCCCTTAATTTCACTGTCAAGGCCAAAGGACACCACACCACGGAATGCAGGCGATGGATTCTTTATCTCAGCAGGCTTTAAATCATGAGATTCGTTTTCTTCTAGCCTGGGGGGTAGCTTTCCCCAAAGGAATCAGGGGGCAGGAGGAGCTAAGGACGAAGGTCCTCACCATCTGTAAGACAATGATTCTGCAGTATAACAGTCACATTAGTGACAGGGGCGGGTACACAACCTGAAACACCAGAGAAGCCTCGTTCCTGTGCAGGGAGTCACCATATCGCTCACTCCCCACGGGCAGTTTTCTCGGGCCAATACAAAACCAGGACTGCATTGAATATCTTCAGATCACCCGTGTAGGGGAGCACACTCCCAGGCAAACTGGCAGACAAGGAGTCGCTCCTTTAGATGAAAAGTTCTTATTTTGCAACCATACGTGTTATTAGTAGATAACAGTGCAAACACGCAGTTAAGCAAACCAAAAACTCATGCATAAAAGCATCATTCAGAGTCACAAGAAAGAGTGGTCATATGTATCACTCATCAGTACAATTACGGGGGCCTCCGGCCCCAGGTCACACAGTCTGAGGCTCGGGGTGCAGACGGCAGACTCGAGCCCAGAGCCAAAGATTAGAAAGTGCCACATCTGGGGGAAAAGCGTTTATTCAAGTCCACAGCAAGTCCGTGAGCAAAATACTGAAGCTGGTCCTTGAGGGCAGGGCTCCCGAGTGAAATAAGCTCCTTTTCTGAAAAGTCACTTTAGATCCTTAAATTTGGTAAATTCTGAAATCTCTAGCATGCCAATTTGGGAAGCTCTAAGATAGACATGAAAATCTGTAGTTCACTCTTTTGCAGAAATTATGTTCTGCAGTTTTTTTAAAAAGTGACTGAGAACAAAATTGCCGTTTATTTATGACTCGAACATTGCGTGGTAACTCACCAGCAGACAGGACTCGCCACTAGCAATTTCCCTGGGAACAGCTAGGGGAACAGGTGACAAGAGCACTTCACACAGGAAAATGGGAAAAGCCAACCTAGGAAGGGCTGTGTGGTTGGGGGATGGTCACGAGTGAAAACTCGCTGAAAACATGAACTGCATTTTAAGGAGAAGTAACGACCCAGTACCAGGTCCCTTGGGAGAGTGGCAGAAACCTGCACAGAAGGACACCTTTTTCTGTATTTGCCTCTGCGTTGCAACCCAACGCCAATGCCAATGCCAGTGCGCCCAGGCGCACCTAAGTTTATTGCCTTAATCGCGGGTGTTCGCAGTGGCTTATACCCATTATCCAGCTGAACAGCCTCACGAGGCAGTCTTTGAAGGACCTCCCCTGGGAATGCTCTTCTTGGCCGCGCTCACTAGGTTGGGTTCGGGACACCTACAAAATGTATTTCATGTGTTATTTCAGTGTTTCTTCAAACACTGACTTACTGAGTTGGATGAAGGATCAGTTGGTTTCAAGTTCTGCATTTGTGACCGCAGGAGACCAAACGCTGAGGTTAAGTATCATTCCAGCATCTTTCTTTCCAGATGACTGTAAGCGGCTTTGTGTGTTATGAAGGGAGGTTGTCAGCGATCAGCTGAGGTTTTTAGCCTAAACATCAAACGGGATGAGTGCAGAACAGGTCTTTAATTCAATGATGTAGTCTTCAGATTTACCAGTAAGGAATCTGTGTGGTACAGCGGACTTTGAAGTCAGGGGTTTGAACCTGGGCCCTTAACAATGGAACTTTTCGCAAGCTATTTAACCTTTCAGAGACCCAGCTTTCTCAGCTGTGAAACGGAAATAATACCCTTTAAGTGGATTGTATTAAGATCAAATGAGATTCTATGCACAAGATTCTTTTCTTCTCAAATTCTAGTTGCCTATAAAAGCCACAGAAATAAAATAAAAAGTAAAAGAAGAAAAAGAAACCATGGAGATTCTTTGAAAAAAATAATTGGTTGGAATGTTGCAGTTCTGCAAGTTTACAATAATGCACTTTAAAACCCAAATATTTCTTGTAAGGTTGGTGCTAACTCATCGTGGGGCAAAGCCCGAACCTGGGTGGATGGGAGTGGCCTCACTGTGTGCCGTGTTCCAGTGTCTGTCCTCCTGTACAAAGCAGTGCTATGGATCCTGCTCGGGTAACAGAACACGCTGCTTTCTTTTAAAATACAAAACCTGGCCCTGGCTGGTGTGGCTCAGTGGATTGAGCACC